CCTCCGTCTAGACAAACCTCGCCGGGGGTCGTCTAGGGCCAATGGCCTTACCTTCCTTGAATGGTTGTCATGATGATGCTCGCTGGCTCTGGGTCGCTTTGGGGCCCTAGAGCTTTCTGCCTTGTTGTTTAGGTGGTTTCTTAGATCCTTCATTTTCGCCTCCCGGACGGGAAGCCCACGAGAAAGGAAAGAATCCCTCGACCCTTCACCAGAGGCGGTAAACTCGTTGAGCCGGCTTAAGACGTTTACATTGTCCTTTTCCAGCTGTCGTAATCTATTGCCGAACTTTTCTTCAATCACCTCCGCCAGCTGACAAGCCAAGGGGGCTGATCCCCCTGACCTGATTCCCATACTGGTTTGAGGGGTAACCCCTCTTGACCGAGTAGAGGCACTTTTATTCATATCGGTGTGATCCCTTCCTCCATGATGACAGGGAGCTTGTAACTCGAGACTCCTTTGGTGGGGGCCTTTCCCTTTCTGTCGAGTGTTCACCATGGTCACTGTTCTTTATAGAGAAAAAACTAGGAAAACTAGTCGTTTCCCACAGACGGCGCCAGATTGTGCGTGCAAGATCCTGCACAATATAAAAAAGGAGAACAGATATCTCCCTTGGTGAACTCGAGTGAGCCAGTTGAGTGACCAATCACGCTGCTTGGAACAGCATGCGAGGTCCGGTGGTAACCTGGAATGGCAACGGGAGACCCTGGGGGAGCGGAAGAACGATCCAGTAATGCTGAAAGGGGTTCCTGGAACAAAGAAGAACAAGTTAGAAGGGCGCCAGAGTGTTTTCCGGCGTATCCCCTCCGACGATCTAGTCAGTCTTTAAGAGAGAGAGAGAGGAAGAAGAAAACACTGAGTGTGTATTGTAGTAAAGAGTTTTTTGTTGCATCCCCGTCTTGCCTTTTGTAAAGAGTATTTATACCTCAAAAACTCATGATTGCTGTCAGTGTAGTCAGTAGGTGATCATTAGGTATAGGCAGTGTGCGCACTGATTCTGATGAGGAATGTCTTCTCTTCTTAACTGCTCGGGGTCCCGAACAATCAATGCTGCGTCATCGGGATGCCGACGGTACAACGAACTCCTCTCGGGGAGGATGCAATAAATGCTCTGTATTAGGAACATTTATTGTCTTTCATTTCCGAGCCTTACCGCATTGAATGCAGTCTTGTCAAGGGAATGATGTAATTAATCGTTTGCTTTCCCAAGTCGCGTGTCAGCAACGACATGCGGTTTTTCTGTCTTTGATGTGACATCATATGCCACGCGTCCATCCCCCATTGGCTGTGGCCCCTGCATTCCAGTACGTTTTGACACTAATTGTGTAAGACGAGATCATGATGAATAGCCTAGACTAGCCTAGGCTAATGACCTGTACGTCAATAGCTTATCCTGGAGTAGAGGAAGCGTCTAGGACGGGGTACCTCTCGGCACCGAGGAAAGGCTCATCTCGAAACCGAGGGAGGTATACCGACCGAGGTACCATATCAGACCGAGGCTACGTGTTGATTGTAACTCGTACTGAATGCCATGATCCTATATGACGAGTACCTCGAGGGCGAGGACCTTTGCGCGCCGATGGTGCTTGATCTTAGCAACAGTGTTTTGGTAAATACCGAAGATACGTGTCTTCATCATAGAGTATTTCAGAAAAATCCCACCAAAACATATATAGCGTAGTTTTAACAACACGTTGACGTTTGAATAGGTCACGGCAGCATTCTTGATTAAGATTGATTATTTTAATTAAGGCAAATCCTTAGACGGTAATGTGGCAAGTTGAGCTACTTCTGATTATCCCTCAATATTAATCTCGATTAATGAATCATTAAAGATGATAAAGATTACTATGTTGTTAATAATTACTTTAAATGCAATTTCAAAAAAAAATATAATTCGTTGATTACATATAATGAGTTTAACAAATTATGCTACTTTATATTCTATTTAAGTCAACTATAATAAGTGTATAAAATAAGCTAATTATGTTTCTATATCAAGTCTAAATTTGATCAATTCCATTAATTAAGTCAATTGTATACGAAAAATGAATTTAAGGCATGCCAATTCTAGATAATTATATTTTTAAAAGAATCTAATCAATTTAAAAAATTAAGCTAAATTTATCGCAATCCAAATTAAATATAGTCCATTGCATTAATTAATTCAGGTAAAATTACATTAGTTAATCAAATTTTATTTCCAAATCAAGAGTTGGTCAATTAAGTCAAATTTATATAAAATTCGAATTCAAATTGACCCATTCGGGTTAATCACGGTTTTAAAAAGAAATCTAGTTAATGGATCAAATAAAATCAATTCCACAAATTCCTTACTCTTATTGAATCATAGACCAACATTCAAATTTGATTGTGCGTGAGCAACTTCTTGTGGCTCGATTAAATACTCCATGTGTGAATATGCCGGTATCTGGTGAGACGAGTTCGTTTTGGATTTGTGAGAGTGAGCGCGAGTGCATATCGGATCTTATCAGATTTGTGTTGAAAAATGTTTCATTCATATCCGATTCGTTTATTAATTCTGTGTCTAACAAATTGTATTATATCGAGTTCATATCGTATATATTCAGTATATAAACTAGTTATATCATATATTTTTTTGATTGATTCTACTTATATTTAATCCGTTTATTAATAGTTTAGTATTGAATACACTGATCTTCAAAATGAGTGACTTAATAAAAATAAAAACCTTCAAATTTTGTATCATGTTCACCTTATTCCTTATTTTGATACCCCTTTACCAACTAGATCACTCCAGTGTTGGATGGAAACATATGGTTATTTCAATATGGCGGCACCAGGGAGACTTTAAGATAGTGTGTACTTCGTATCTGGGCAAAGCCATTTCATTTTTCATATTTTCGAATTGCCATCCCCAATTCCCCACCATAACGTCTAAAATCTCCATTACTACAGGGAGGAAAACTCTGCGTCATGGGTCCCATTTGGATACTTTTCTCATTTTCGGGTAGTTTCCTCTTGAAAAATATCTACCAAGTATATGAACAAGTTGGGTTTGAATCATTTCACTTTTTTTCTCTCGCATTGCTCCTCCATTCTCTATATAATTCTTTTTTCTTTACTGTATAAGCCTTTTGTATTCTTCACTTTTTTTAAGTTTCTACTAGTTCTTACCCTTTTTTTTCTTATGTTTGTTCTTAGAATTCAGCAATCAACAGCGTAATCTAATCATTGGTGAGCTCTGTGAATATGGGTTGGAGGGATTTGTTACCTTATTCTCCCTTACCAAATTTCGGAAATATCTGTCAGGTTAGTGCACTTTTCCTCTGTTATTTGTTGTTTATTTAACTGATCGTGACTTGTGACAGATGATTATCCAATAAGTCCATCAACTCGTATTTTTTATTGGAGAAATTGACACTTTTTAGCCATTTTTATGCCTTAACAGAAATGGGTCTGATTGGTTAAATTTTGAAAAGTAGGTCTGGCTAGTTTTGGTGCATCTTGCTTTGATGGTGTATATGATGAATTCTGAATGACATGATACATTTTTATAGTATGCAGTCTGAATTTGCAGAACGTATCAAAACGTTGAATTCTTGGTCATATTGTTATGATCTCAAATCGGTTAGATACAAGCTCAGATGTGAGCATATCAATTCTTGAGCATTCTTCCCATGCCGGTTTTCAAGGGTGAATTCCATCCAGAGGTTTATATCCAATACCACTACGTACCGTATAGGATTGTATGTAGTACATGTTGCAACTCTTGGTTGTTCGGATTATGGAAGGGGCGAGCCATAGATTGGATTAAAATGTCTTGCTATTATGTATGGGCGTAGTGCTAAGTCATTAAATATTGATGGGTGAGTAGAGCCACCAAAGGGAAAAGGTTACCATTGGGTCATTGACAATGGAGTGGGCGCTGTGGACATGGCATGGTTGAATGTTACAATCCTGCATTTGTTAAATATGAGTTTAGATGTGTGTATATTATTAACTCTTTGTCGCCCTTTCCTTTTAAGCCGGTTTTCAAAGGTGAATTCTGCCCATGGGGTCATATAACAAATATTTTTTTGAATTGGTTTGCCCTGTATTAGACGACTTGACGTATGGTCTTTTATTGTGTATTGCGTGATATGGTGCAAATCCGATACACGTAAGTGACACACATCGTTTTCTCCATGTATCAAGATGCATCTTATGATACGTATCACGTACTATACTATACTAATAACAATGATAGCACATATTAATGGGAACAAAAGATCAGGTTCTACATGGAGAGGTGTTCTTTTGGTGCAAAGTTTCTTGATCTGAATAGTGATCACTGGATTGCAAAAGCTGAGCAATGGGACTAGCTTGACATGGTGTGCACCCGTTCTGATTTACCAAATCAGTAGGGATTTTGAGTTCTATGATAATCATTTCTTCTTTGTCTAAGTATTTTTACAGAGGCTAGAGCATTTGGTCTAATAGGAATGATTCTGCCAAGACTACCCAATGTTGTCTGTTCTTCATCGTTCACTCAAGTTGAGAATACAGAGCTTCCCTCCCGTATAAGTGACAAATTGTAATAGCAGAAATAGACTTGTAAGTTTGAACAACGTAACTTATAGTAGTAGATTCCCTTCCCTTCTTGCCAGAGAAGTGATGAAAACTCTGACTGATTTGTGCAACATAGAAATTTTCCCAAGAATTGCATTGTTAATTCTTCAGAAGTTTAAATGAAAAAAAGTTCAAGCTGTTTCCTTTAATACTTGTACAACATTATTTCACAAGGTTAACTCATGCTTTTCTCTCGGTTCCAGAGTTTGAATTCAGTAAACATAAAAAATCAGTTGTGTCTTTGTAAATCAATTCACTGATTAAAGAATCCATAGATTTCATTGTTTTTGCTGCCAATGCATTTGTCTTTTGCCAATTTCCATTTGTAGTGCTTTCGTAGAATGCATAGTTTGCTTGACAACTCCATCATCCAGTTTGAATCCTACTAATATTTTTTTTTCTGTTATCAGGGCAGAGAAAGGGAGGTTGAGTTTGGTACACATACTATTAAGTCTCATGGAGCCCATGTTGCAAGGATTCATATCCATGATTGGCTTATATTGCTGCTCCTTGTAGTCATAGAGATCGTTTTAAACATCATACATCCCTTTTATTGCTTTGTTGGGGAGCATATGATGTCAGACCTTAAGTATCCCATGAAGGAAAATACGGTGCCTTTCTGGGCTGTTCCTGTGAGTTTCTCTTTACCTTTCATTATCTAGTCTAACTGAGTTGTAAAGAATACCCATGAAATTGGTAGTCGATGTAGTTGAATTTGCACATAGTTGGAAACAAATCTATGCTGTTTGACAATGATTAAGAGTTCTTAATTTACTAAGAGGTGATGGTAGTCAAGCAAATTTTCATTTTCAATAGCTGCATATATCCTTCAGCTATTACTTTTGTTCATCATAAATGGTTGCTAGTCACCATAAAATGTTACAGAATATTGAATGAAATCATATTGTTTTTATGTCTCACAAAAACTTTACAAGTCATGCGTCACCAGGTGGGATTTTGCCAGAAGAAAGTAGAACTGATTAATCTTTTTTTCTAATGATGATCAGATGTATGCAGCTTTGTTGCCAATTGCAATTTTTCTTGTATTCTATCTTCGAAGGAAGGATGTCTATGATCTGCATCACAGCATACTAGGTAGAAATTGTTGATGCTTTTTAATAACAAGCAGGAAGCCCTTTTTGTTCTTTCTTCTCTTTTCTTTTTTTGGTTCTTTGTAATTAGTACAAGGGAATCCCTTCTTTGGCTGCTAGCAAAGGAATTAGCTTGTTTAACTAGTGACTTACATATATTGAATAATGCAGGCCTTTTATTTGCTGTGCTGATAACCTGGTGCCTTACTGATGCAATAAAAAATGCAGTTGGTTGGCCTCGACCTGACTTCTTTTGGCGTTGCTTTCCAGATGGACAGGGTGTATGTCCTGCATTTTACCAAATACATTGTAGTTTAATAACTCTTTGAATTATTTAGGGGCACAAATTCTTGATTTGCATTACCAAATACCTGACTAGTTATGTACAATCCTTCGTGTTTTATTCACGAAATTTGGCGAATGTAGCAAAATCCTGGGGATCTCTTACAAATAATTTGTACAAATATTTTATGAACTTTATTTCTCTGTTACATTGTTGAACCATATTTGTATGAATTTATTTTCAAAGGTACTTGGAATGTTGCCAATAAAAGCTGAACCTAGAATAGGTCACTTTATTTTTGTGGCTAATAAATGTTACATGCTTGATCACTGATTTATATATTTCTCTTCTCTTTCAGAAATATGATAAGTGGGGAAACGTAATATGCCATGGTAAAGATAGTGATATAAAGGAAGGGCATAAGAGTTTCCCAAGTGGTCATACTTCATGTAAGCAAAATTTCTTGCCAAGCCTCCAGCTGTTATCTTAAATCACTTGATTGGGTCCACTATCAGAAATTGTAGAAGTAAAATTGTCTGGGGTTCGAATTTATGTTCTTTTAGGTAGGATTATCATAGTGCTTATTATTTAGACAGCATAAATTTGAGACTTAAATTCATGTAAGAGGAGCTTATGTGGATCACAGAAACTTCTGAAACATTGGACTAGAGATCTAACTGACTGACTTCATTAAGGAAAGCAAACAAATGTGCTCTATCTGCATGGTTCATTCGCTCAGCAGTCCCTGAACCTGTTTTGAATTATTTTGCAGGGTCCTTTGCAGGTCTAAGTTTTCTATCACTGTACTTATCAGGCAAAATAAAAGCTTTTGATCGCAGGGGGTACATTGCAAAACTATGCATTGTTTTTCTTCCTCTCCTCCTTGCATCTCTTGTTGGTGTTTCTCGGTTGGATGACTATAAGCATCATTGGCAAGATGTATTTGCAGGAGGTCTTCTAGGTTTGTCATTCCCAATCTTGCAAGTTATCAGAGATATTCCAATCAAACTTGCATTTCATTGGTACAATTTTACTTTCCTTTTTTCAGGACTAGTTGTCTCGACATTTTGCTACTTGCAGTTTTTCCCACCTCCATATCACAATGAAGGTAAGTTCTCGTTTCTTTATTTGGTTCTTTCTTCTTTTGCTATAATTCTTTTTGATTTATCTTTCTGCTGTACCTTTGATAATCTTTACTGTTATATTTGTGATGTATTAGTCTTAGGAAGCTTATCATACATGATCATCACATGACATTGAACTATGATTTGGTTTACGAGATCTTCCCACTGACATCTTTCTGTTGTATTAAAACTGACACAAATCATTGTTGTAACATAGCATTTTAATACAATTTTTGAGCATGACAACGCGAAGTACTAAGACATATATAAATGAGGATGTTGTTCAATTCTTGAAATTTTCTTAAAGTAGGGTCAGTAACATTTAGTTCTTTAAATTGCCAGAGAACATGATGGACTTATACCAAAAACTGATAGGAAAGAATCTTCAATGGGACATCCTAGCATCTGATAAACAGGGATGACATTGTTTATCTCTAATGCTGTCCTTTCATATAGGCTTCTAGTTTTGATCTGATCATCTAAGCATATAAGATTCGCCAATACTTTTCCTTTTGTTTTAAAAAAGGAGGATTATATTTTACTGCTTCTAATCATTGAAGCAATCTGCAAGGTTAGTTTCCTTGTGAAAAGGCTATTTAAAAGAAACCGTGCCCCCTTGATTGTGGTAGTATTAGTGTATTTTTTTTGAGTTGAGTGTCTAGTGTTTGGAAGGGACCCGTGGTTAGCAACAATAGCCAATTTATTAGTAATTTCTGAAAAATTAGAATAAGCAAATGAAAACTTGGAATTACAGCAAGCTAAAGTCATTTTATCTATGTCATTTATAAAGCATCAGTATTTAGAGCTCCTGCTGCACTCTCTTTTGACTTCAGGATGGGGGCCTTGTGCATATTTCCGAGCATTAGAGGAATCAGGCGTCAACTCACAATTAGCCAGTCCTGAGAATGGTCTCGATATGCAAGTGATGGAGGTTCAAGTCGAGTCCTGATTGACACGATAGATTACAGTAGACTACACACTCGCAGTTTGCCTTTTTGGTGACCACTCCCATGAAAATGTGGATGGGATCATTCGTAAAGTACCAAAAATGGTTGTCAATGCCCATCAAACAGAGGTTTTTGATCTTGAAGGCCCGAAGAAGCTAATTTTCCTGGCAATTTTAACTTACTCTTAGTCTAGATTATTGATATGAGAGAGAGAGAGAGAGCACTATGGTATTTTACTTGTCGTAGCAGGTTTTCTGTGGGGGATGGATGACTCTACCCCTTTACGGGGACTTTGGAAATTGTGTTTATAGTTTGGAACATGCACGTACTGAACACGTGGATAGTTATTTTTTTGCTTAAAATGCCATTACATGTATTTTTTCTTTGGTGTATTTCGGTATGCAATCCGAACTGGGGCCCATTTTCAAAGAGGGGACATATGGCGAAAAATCTTAAGAAAATCAAAACTAATTCGGATGTTTTTAATGAATAATTATTTGAGAAATTAATTTTAACACGATTAAACTAGATAATGACCTCTATTCGATAATTTTTATAATTATTTATCTAATTGTTTAAGTGATAAAATAAAAAATGAGATAAATAAAAAAAATAAAAAAGTGGCACAAATTATAATCCTGTGCAGCGATTGATATATATATATATATATATTTTAGTCAATATTAAAAGGTTTTATTCAAGTGAAAAACTGAAATTAATTGTTTATCACTCAAACAAATTTTTTATAATTATTTATCTAATTTTTTAAGTGATAAAAAAAAAGAGATAATTAAAAAAATAAAAAAAAGTGATTCGAAATATATAATTCGGTCCATATTAACAAATGGATAATTGAAATTAATTGAAACGAAATACGCTCTACTATGTTAACCCGTGTTTAGGCGGGACAATCGAATCCCACCAAGTATCAACTACGCACGAATTGGAAGAGAGAGAGAGAGAGAGAGGGCTGAGGATTTCAGCAATGGTGAATCTCGTCGTCTTCTAGCTTCTGTCCTCCAAGCAAAAGTTTTCATAGGGTTTCTGAATTTAGTTTTATGTATTCTTCTGATTACAGGCGGACTCAACCGAAGAACTCGAACCCCTCTTTGATTACAGTCGCGTTCAGCCTATCGATCTTGTCTGCCTTGACGGTCAGTTCTCTTCGACACACGTTTTGTTAGTGGACTAAGTCCTCTAACTTGTTGTTCACACACTCACACATTTAATATTCTGTGTTGAATTGGCAGATGACTGTTCCGATTCATCCCCAGCTTATGCTCCAAAAAGAAGGAAAATCCCCGATTCTGCAGTAATGATCTCTCTTTAGTCTATCCTTAATGATTTTTGGTTATGTTAATGAGTTGTTAATTGTGATTAGGTTGGAAAGGAAGTAAAGAATGGGAATGCTATAGAGATTGTTGATTGTGAAGACAAAGAAGAGGAGGATTGGTTGCCTCCTCCTCCCAAGGTTTTAGATGAATCAAAGAAGCTTTTAGAGGGTTCAACCATAAAGGAGATGAGGTATAGGACTGTTGGATTACATATTTGTTAGACTCCTGAAAAATTTTTCATTCTTGTGGAAAAATAATTGAAATTTGTTGTAATTTCTTGTATTGAGCTCTTGGTGAATTAAACTTGCAGGTGAATTATTAAGTTGAAATATGTTGTAACAAGCCGATAAATACTTGTGATCTTAATATTATTGTATGTCTTTGAAACATCAAAAAATCCATTGGGCTCCAACTGGGAAATTGGGAACCTTGAATATGAAGAAGAATATAAGGGGTATTTTAGTTTCCTTTATAGTGATGTAGAACTATGAGAAAAGAAAGATTTTGTGTAATGAAAAGTGAGATTTTTTATAAATCCGAGGAGAGCGGATTTTCCTGACAAATAAGTTAGAAAACATGGATAAATTTGAGAGGAAAGGATCAAAATTCAATATTAATTGATTTATTTCTTTCCTTTCCTTCAGTGTCTTGATAACTAAAAGCCATTTAATCAAATATCATAAAGTTTGCTTCAATTTATTCTCTATGGATACCAGAGTAATTTGAGAAGTGGGTGAAAAATAGGATAAAATGTTTACATTTAGCTAGCTCATAGATCAAGATGATAGGATGACCTAGATGATGGCCCGGATATATCGTAGCCCAGGAATATTTGGGTACCTTACTAATTTTTATGTATGCATTTCGATTAGGGTTGTTTTCTATGGATACAATTATACCATATATGTCTTTTTCATTTCGTCAAAAATCAGGGCACAACTATGCATACGTTATTTCTAGGTGATCAATAATGTTGGTTCGTAATATAAGGGTAGAGAAGACTTTAACTTAGAAACGAGTGCAATTGGAAAACCTAAACCTTTAAAGGGATGCTCAAAGCTGGGTGATTAACTATTGGGGCAATGACTGAGATTGTTTTTGTCTGTCACGTGATTCTACACTTGGTGATAAATGAAACAGGAATTAAGAATTCTAAGAATAACAACGTTCTCATCTTGGAACCCAAGGTATAACCAGAGCTGGAAAATAATAAGAATCTCCTTCTGGATAGTGAGGACAGTGATTGGATGTGGGCAAGTTGTCACACCCATATTATGTGGAGTTTCTCTTGCCCATCTTGATGTGCATGTTGCTTTATTCTATCCATTAGCGTGTGGTTGAAATAGTGTAATGCATTGCATTACAAAAGTTTCACATTCCTAATTATCTACACACATAAGCTTTGAATGTTGATCAAACATTGTGACTTTGGTCAATTTTTATAGCTTTACTAGATCGGGTGTAGTGGGTATTACATGTGTTTAGTATTCTTCCTTATTTTTTTTTTTTTTTTTTTTGTGAATGTTTTGTTTTGTATAGATTAAAGAAACAGGAACTGGTATCATTTGCCCAATCAGCTGAAGACATGTTGCGAACTGTTGAAGAGTCTATTAAAAGAAATCTTAGTTCCTCAATGCAATCTTGTTTAGAAAGTGTTGCAGAGCAGCCATCAAAGTCTTCCTGTGAAAGAGCTAAAATAGTTATTTCTATCCAGGACAAGGATGAACTCAAGCAATTTCGGGTATACATGGTATGCACCTTTGTGCAGAAAGTATTGGAAATTTTTGTGGAACATGTAATTTGCTTGCCACCTAGTAGTCAATTGTTCTGTTATATCATTGGCCTAGGAGAGATAATCAAATTTTGTCTTTCTTTATGCTCTTGAAAAAAAATATATATGCAGTCACAATATACGAAAAGTGTGAAAAATAAACATTTCTGGAGTTTGTACGACAATGGAAAGTCCAGGACGTGTTATAAAGGTTTTAACCTTAACCCTTCTGTTATGGTTCTCTCCCGTCTTTTTGCAGGAGAGAAATTCGTGTTGTCCTGCATCTTTAGAAATTTTAGTC